ACAAATTTGTTATTCTTTTATTTTTATAATATAAGTAAACACTTAAGTGTCATGTAAACGCAATTTGTTATTGTGATTATATGACTTTACTAGCATTAATTCACGTTTATGAAGGTGTGCGGATACTTTTGTCTACCCTCTATATAGCTCTATAATCACTTAAAGAAAATTGAAATGCCTCACTGTACCTGTCATGAAGGCTTTTACGTAAATCGTTTATTAAATCATTTACATTAATTTTTTTAATATTACATTTTTTCAGAATCTCTTATAAAGCTTCGAGAGCATTCCTGTACCCTTCACAATCATCCACTAAAATTTTGGTTATATGATCTGTCATTTCAAAGACTGGAGTTACATTATTATTATTGCAAATTATCAGAGGTATCAATGAAGCAATCGGCAGTTCTATATGCTTGCAGTGCGTAATTTTTAAGACCTTAATATAATTAGTTACTATTGCAGTACATAGTATAATTATGAAAGTACCATTCAAAGCAAGGTCATATATATTAATCAGAGTTTGAGAAAAATCAGATGATTGATTATTCCAATCTTGAATTTATATTTTGTAATTCATCAACAATTAAAAAAATCGTAGCATCTTTTATTTTAATCTCTTCATATTTGGCTATTAACTCAAACATTTGTCATAGTAATAGTACTTTATATTCTGTAATTATCAATTTCAGATTTTTTTCTGAAAGAAGTTGTTTAAAAATTTTAGTTCTAATTATACTATATGCTTTTTCTATACTATTCCTTAAGCTATTACCATTTTCAAAACTGATATTGAATACTCATGCATTTCTAATTCTTTTTTTTAGTTTTAAGTCTTTGGAATCTGATAAATATGTGAGTGTCGTATTATAAAATTCTTTTGCGTTTTGTGACTTTCTGGTATTAACACTAGAATGAAAAAGGTAAATTGGTATAAATGTTTTATCAATGACTCTCCTAAGGTAATATTCGTAATACTTTCTAAGTTAATTCCTTAACTTTTTATATAAGCCTTATCCAGGCTAATATATCTAACTCTTACCAATACCATAAAGTAGAGACTTTGGTTTTTTGTATTGTAAATCCGTAAAAGTAATGAAACATTAGTTAGGTTCATGAATTTCAGTATTTCAAATTGTTAAATATATATCTTTAGGAAAAACTTCTATAATTACTTTTTTTGTAGGGCTTATAAGTACTAAATGAGATTTAAAAGTTACAAGTTGATCAAAAATTCACAGCACATGATAAAGAAAAAAAAAGGTTTTGTTATTGCATCACAAATAGTAAAATGGCAGATATTTTAACATACCAGTAGTTATGATTGTCAAGAATTCTTTTAAAAAATGTAGTCTATTTTTATCTGTTTTGCAGAGATTTGTAAGTGCAGAATATAATAATGTTCTCTCTTCTCTATGTATAATAAAATAAACTTGAAGCTTATTTGATTCTTCTTTTAAGAATCTAAGATTATCAATAATTTCAAAAATGTTTGACATGGTGTTTATTGTAGATTTTATTAATTTAGAAAAATGAAAATGATTATTTTGAAAATTTTATATCAAACTTATCAACTATATATATGATTTAAAATAAACTTTTATAAATTTTATCAATAATGTAAATACATTTTAAATCTGAATAAACTTTATTGATTATTAATTGAGAATATGTTTTATAAGTCTATACCTAACATCATATCATCAGTTAATAAAATACATTTATTTTTAATCTAAAAATCTAAAAACTAGTTGTTGTCTATTACTTTAGCAACAGAAATCAGAAAAATTCTGATATTAAATCATAAATTTTTATCACAATAATAGCAAAAATTCTGATAAAAATTTTATATTTATTTATTACTATTTTGATTATTAAATACATTATAGTAAGATATTTAAGTAATTTTAGACTTAAAGATTAACAATCATATATTATTACATACTATTTTTTTAAAAGAAGAAGTTGTAATGTAACTTTATCCCAAAATTTGTTCAGTTCAGAAAATTCCATTATCTTTATAACTTAATTATTGGATGTAAATATAATCAAAACTTAAATTATCCTTTTATTCGAAAGATTTTAAATTAATTTTCTCTGCTTATCTGTAATTATTATTGATAATTCACATATTATAAAAAATTAAAAATTCAAAAATTCAGAATTTTTTCAGGTACAATGTAAGTAAATCATGTAATATTACACAAATTTGTATAACATAATATATTTTCTTAAAAGTATTTTTTCTTTTCTTAAAAATTTATGTAATATTTACAAATTAAAATCATTATTATTTATATATGTAATCTAAATCTGATAGTTATACACAAATTTTTTAATTATATAGACTTGATTCATCATAAAATATTTTAACTATATAAATATTTGATTATATATTTATATGTTATCTTAAAAATTTAAAGAAAATAGATATTTAGTTAAATAATAAAACTGAGTAGTGAGAAAGAAATTGGTATTATATTATATTGAAGTAAGATTTAGTAGATTTATTAAGTAAATATCTTCTTTTATGTAATATCAAAAAAAATTATATATATATGTATATTTTATTACAAATAATATACTTTTTAATTTACCTTATTATAAAAATTTTTTATTGTATCATCACTAAGTTTTTTTACCTTAAATTTAAGAATTTTAACAGATATAATTCTATACATCTAATCTAATATATAATCTTTTAAATTCATATTTATATCAACAATATTCTTAAAATTTTACTAAATTACAAAAATAATATTTGAGAATTTTTGGTTTAAATCTATAATTAAAAATATATAAAGTATTACTTAATAAAAATTTATTTTACTAAAAGAACTAAAAGAACCAGAAGAGCTTAAAGATAAATAAGTTTAAAAAGCTTTGTAAATTAATTTCAGATTTATTAGACATATTTAGTTGATTAAAATTAGATTTTTGAATACTTACATAAAAATTGATTTATTTTATTTTAAAGAACTTTGATACTAATATTAATTGATACAAATTTGAATATAATAAATTTTTTTAAAAATTTAATTCTGCTAAAATCATTTTGATAAGCTTTTTTAATATTATTAAGTTTTAAAAAAATTTTTTATGTTTTTAGATATAATTAATATTATATGTCTTAAAATTTTCAATTTCTGCAGTAAGTTTATTATTAAACTTAATATTAATTTCATTCTTAATTTTAGTAATTTCTGCATTAATAAACTTTTTAATTTCTATATTATATATAAAGAAATTATCAGAAATTTTTTGTTTAAGAATTATCTATATAATAATGATCTCTTATAAATATTGTTAAACTAATGAATATTAATAGCAGATAAAGTTAAAAATAGTATATTTCTTAAAGAATTAATAATGTTAAACTAAATATAATATATATAAAATAATACATTATATATTTTATTGAAAAATATGTTTATTAGTGGATTAACTCAGATTTTTTAAATAATAATGCATAATTTTTTTAATAGTAATAATTATCTTGCATAAATACATTAGAAAAAAGATTTATTTTATACTTTATAACTACAATATGTAAAAATGAAATTTTACTTGATTTAATAAATTTATAAAAAATTATATTACTTTATTTTTTTTATAATTATATTTTTCATCTATAAAAATTATAACAATCCAGATTCTATCTAATAATAATAAATATTTCTTTTTGAATTTAACAATAATGCTTAAAAAAATCTGATGAATTATGATTTTATAATTAATTGATATATATAATTTAATACTAATAGTATAATAATATATCTTAAAATTTACTATTTATTTTTAAGATTTCTTGTGAAAACAAAAAATCATATATGAGCATATATCTTTAGATTTTTTAGTACTCCTAAATAAAAAATTTTATTAATCTACTTCTTATTTCAATTGTTATAATAAAAAAATAAAAATCAAAATATTTATTTATTATTACTAGTAAATAGTCTAAATTAGCTAGAAATTAGATAATTAATTTTAAGTTAATTTTAATATTATTTACAGTCAATTATCATATTTTTAGATTAGTATAAATATATACTGATTAATGTTGATTAACTTTAATCAAATATAGTCATTTAGCATCAATTTAGAATTTAAATTTAACTATTAATTAATCTAAAATTCAGCATTAATTTAAAACTTAAATAAACATAATCAGCTTAAATTAATATCAATTCAAAACTTAAATAATCATAGATCAAGCTAAAATTGGTTTCATTTTAGTATTAATTTAATTAAATAAGTATATAAATCAATATATTTTATTTATTAAGTTTTTTAAATATTAAAATTTAATTAATAATAAAAATCTAATATAATTTGCAAAAATATAATAAAAATATTACCAAAACTTACTGATTAATTTCCTATTTAAAAAATATAAGCAAAAAAATGTTAAACCATATAAAATAATAAAATATAATTTATTTTTCTTTTAAAATCACTTTAAATCATTCTAAATATTCATTATCATAATATTGTCATTTTTGAAAAAAAGAATAAAATAATAAAAATATAATTTATTTTTCTTTTAAAAATCTTTTAAAATCATTTAAAAATATATAAAATAATAAATAAAATAATAAAAAAACTACTCTATTATAGAAGTAAAAATAAATTAATTTATTATTTGAAAAGTTGACTGATTTATTAATAAAATTCAATTTAAATTTTAATAGTTGAAGGTATATTTTTATTATAGAAAGTAAAAAAATCAGTTTATTATTATCTAAAAGTTGACTAAAATTTAACTTAAATTCTTTTTATTCTTAAGATAATTTTTTTGATATTTTGGTGATATGTAAAAAAGAGAAAATTTAGAATAATTATAAAAAAATAAAGTTTGAGTTAAAATTATTTTTTAAAAAGTAAAAAATTAAGCTTATTTATATAAATATTCCTATATATTTCAGAAA